CTTGACACACCCACACCTGATCCACCACAAGACCCTCACTTGACACACCCACACCTGACTCATCACAAGACCCTCACTTGACACACCCACACCTGACCCATCACAAAACCCATCACAAGATCCACCACAAGACCCTCACTTGACACAGCCACACCTGATCCACCACAAGACCCTCACCTGACCCATCACAAGACCCACCACAAGACCCTCCCTTGACGCACCCACACTTGACCCATCACATGACCATGTAAATCTCTTCAGACAATGCTTGCAAACAAACAGAGATGAGAATCGGACACGTCCAGACATGGGAAAACTTTATTTGTTTATGGAGATGCTCAGTCCTCCAGGTCCTGGTTGTCCCAAAGGTGCTTTTTTTCACGAGGCAACAGGACTTTCTTGTTTTTCTTTGAAGACGTTTCGCTTCTCATCCAAGAAGCTTCTTCAGCTCTGACTGGATGGTGGGGAATGGAAGGATTTATACCCCTTCAATCATTTATAAAACTCCAAGTGGCCTGAACGACTCTCTAAAAGGATGTAAACGACCAGCTCTCTGCAAGGAGTATAAATCCTTCCATTCCCCACCATCCAGTCAGAACGTGAAGAAGCTTCTGGGATGAGAAGCGAAACCTCTTCAAAGAAAAATCAAGAAAAGTCCAGTTGCCTCCTGAAAAAAAAAAGCACCTTTGAGTTTACCTTTATTGTGTGGACACAGCTCAGGAGTAGCCCTAGCCCTCTCATAGATTCTGGGGTTTGGGTGAATGTACATCTGTGGGACTAAAGAAGTCAAGGTGGCAATGGCGGTAACACAACCGAAGCCCTTTGTGATGTTGGGGTTGCAGAATTATCTGATGGGATCCGAATGGATAAAGTAGGAGTAGAATTTTACTGCCACAAGAGGGCGCTGTTGCTCTCCTCTTTCTACTGTGTGAGTTTGTTGTGACTTTTCTGCTTTAAAACGTAGGAGGAGTTGGGAATTTCGGTTGCGGTACACCTGCGTATCAAAAACAAAAGAAAAAAATGCTCGGGAAGACTGAGAATATCTCCAGTGTTAAGAGGGGATTATTATTATTATTATTATTATTATTATTTATTTATTTATTTATTTATTTTTAAGACTTATATGCCGCCCTTCTCCCCACGGGACTCAGGGCGGCTCACAGCATATTAAAACAACATAGTACATTTCCCCAATAAAAGCCAATTAAAAACCAAATATTTGTAGCTGTGTCTCTTATTAAAATCATTAAAAATTATCCCTATTTAAAATTCACCCTAGGTCAGTCCCGCTTGCTGAAAAAGCCATGTCTTGAAGGCATGGCTTATTATTATTATTATTATTATTATTATTATTATTATTATTATTATTATTATTATTATTATTATTATTATTATTATTATTATTATTATTAATGCTATATAAGGCTGCAGATCACATTTAATATTTTTAGCCAAGGCTCTGCACTAGTCTTTAACCAATTGCCCTTCTTTGCAGAGAGTTGATGGTCCAGAGTCTTAAGCACACCTAGGATTGATAAAGAAAATAATAATTGGTCAATTGATCTGTCAAAGGCCAGATGCCCTTACAGTGTTAAATGTTACTAAAACAAAATCATTAGTAGTTTCAATGTTTTTCCAATTAGAATAGAATAGAATAAGAATAAGAATAAGAAGTAGAAGTAGAAGTAGAAGTAGGAGTAGAGTAGAGTAGAGTAGAGTAGAGTAGAATAGAATAGAATAGAATAGAATAGAATAGAATAGAATAGAATAGAATAGAATAGAATAGAATAGAATAATGAAGAAAGAATAGAATAGAGTAGAGTAGAGTAGAGTAGAGTAGAGTAGAGTAGAATAGAATAGAATAATGAAGAAAGAATAGAATAGAGTAGAGTAGAGTAGAGTAGAATAGAATAGAATAGAATAGAATAGAATAGAACAGAACAGAATAATGAATAATGAATAATGAATAATGAGTAATGAATAATGAATAATGAATAATGAATAATAGAATAGAATAGAATAGAATAGAATAGAATAGAATAGAATAGAATAGAATAGAAAATATGGAATGGAATGGAATGGAGTTGTTTTCCATTTGCTTTATTCCAGGTTTAACAGTCATTTTCAAAGACAAATTGTATGAAATAACAGCAGATTATTTCCCACTCTTGCTGTACCTCCACAGTCTGGCCTCTTTAATTTCAGCTCTAGCCATGGAGAGTTGTCAATTCATATTTACGATTTACTCTGTTCTGTCAAGCTGGCCTACTGCAATTCGTTCAGTAGACAAGTGGCTTAAATGCAATTCATCAAGACGTGCTGTACTGAATTAATTTAATCTCTTAATCTAATTTCGTTTTTACAAATGTCAATTCCATAAACTGCGCGCCCTTAATTCAATACATTAAACCAACAGTGGCTTAGTGGACTTGCCAGCATAGCCACGTCATGAGGGGAGCTTGGATGAATAGCTGTGAGGGAAACTGAGGGAAACAGTTCTTCTCTACCCTTCATGAGGGAATGACACCATAATGACTTTTTAAGAAGAATATAGCTTACCAGACTGAGTGCGTTAGCTTTGTGAGATATTTGGTATACATGCACCAGATTAGGTAATACACCATAGCAGGCAGGCAGGGAATCTAGCAAAGTCCCCTCTCTTATGAAGTTCATCTAGTGGGGCCAAGAACAAGGGCCTTCTCTGTGGTGGCTCCCTTCCTGTGGAACATCATCTCTGTGGAGATAAAGGCCCCCATCTTGATGCTCTTAGTAAGGCCACACTTGGAATACGGCATCCAGTTTTGGTCCCCACGAAGTAAAAAAGATGCTGAGACTCTAGAAAGAGTGCAGAGAAGAGCAACAAAGAGGATCTAGGAACTGGAGGTTCAAATAGTTGCTGGAATTGGGTATGTCTAGTTTAATAAAGAGAAGGACCAGGGGTGACATGATAGCGGTGCTCCAGTACCCAGGGGCTGCCCCAAAGAAGAGGGAAGTCAAGCTATTCTCCAAAGCGCCTGAAGGCAGGACAAGAAGCAACAGATGGAAACTAATCAAGGAGAGATTCAACATGGAAATAAGGAGAAATTTCCTGACAGTGAGGACAATTAACCAGTGGAACAGAAGTTGCCTTCAGACCCGCTCTTCTTTGTAGCATCAAATGATGTCAATTGGATGCTTTTAAAATTTAGCTTCAGGACTCTAAACTAGAATGCCTTCTTGATTCAGGTTGGGACATTTCATGGGTACCAACAGAAGAGAATATTTGCAGCTCAGGGTTGAAATGAGGGGTCCTTGGTGGTCTCTGAGCTTGGTGGTTTTCTTGCAGACGTTTCATGACCCAACTAGGGAACATCATCAGGGCTAGAAGGGAGTTGGGTTTGTGGAGAGGAGGAGGAGGAGGAGGAGGAGGAGGAGGAGGAGGACGATGACTGTGGGGTCCTTGGTGCTCTCTGAGCTTGATGGTTTTCTTGCAGATGTTTCATTACCACACTAGGTAACATCATCAGTACTACTTTGATAATGAAACATCTGCAAGAAAACCACCAAGCTCAGAGAGCACCAAGGACCCCACGTTTCATGAATTTCCTGATTTCTTTTTTAAATCACCCTCTTCCCCTTGCACAAGGCCCTGGTTTACAACATCTAAGTGTTCGGACTCTTGCAAGCTTCAAAACCGAAAGCAATCAGGTTAAAACGAGCAAGTACCCCTTGTCGGTTTCCTTGTGGACGACGCTTGTTTTCACGAGTTTTTGTGCGGCCACGTACATTTTATTGGGTATAAAAGTTAAATATGCATCCATTTCTGTTCTAGGTGCGACACGGGAACAAATGCGTGGTCCCTGAGAATTGCCCCTGTTTCCACAACGGACAGGAATACGCGCCAGGGCAAACAGTGACCAAGGACTGCAATACGTGGTAAGGAACTAACCTCTTTGACCTTGATTTCCCACTGGACCTTTAAAATGCCAATAAATGGCCACATATTTTTCAGGTGGCGTAGATAGCATGTAAAAAAAAATGAACAGGAAACACAGCCTGGTTAAAACGAACGTGGACTGAACAGGGTGTTAATCCTTCTCCTTCCTCCTTCGAAAAAATGGGGAGTAAAACTTACTATAGGGTTGAGCAGGAAATTAACCTGCCTGGTTTCCCTTCACCAGTTCTCCTTCAGTTTGAGTCAAGAGAAGCACACTTTGTGGACTAGTCCTTGTCCTGTTGTTGTTTTTTTAAAAAGCAGAGTGACTCCTACAATGCCCTAGCAATAGCAGTGAGGCTTAAGTATCACCGCTTTACAGCACTCTCTAAGTACAAAGTTGAAGCATTATTTGCATGCTGCCCCCAACAATCTGGGTCCTCATTTTACCGGCCTCGGAAAGATGGAAGGATCAGTCAACCTTAAGCCGGTCAGGATTGAACTGCTGGCAGTGGGCAGAGTTAGCCTGCAATGCTGCACTTTAACCACCGTGCCACCAGGGCTTAGATAGTAATAGCAATAGAACTTAGTCTTGTATACCGCTTCATAATGCTTTCCAGCCCTCTGTAAGCGGTTTACAGAGTCAGCCTATTGGCCCCCAACAATCTGGGTCCTCCTTTTACAGACCTCGGAAGGACGGAAGGCTGAGTCAACCTTGAGCCAGTCAGGATCGAACTCCTGACAGTGGGCAGAATTAGCCTGCAATACCACATTCTAATCAATGTACCACAATGGAAGGAAGGAAGGAAGGAAGGAAGGAAGGAAGGGAGAAAGGGACGGAGGGAGGAAAGAGGGGGAGGGGGGAGGGGAGGGGAGGGAGGAGGAGGGAAGGAAGGAAGGAACAGCAATAGCACTTAGACTTATATACTGTTTCACAGTGCTTTACAGCCCTCTGTAAACTATTTTTACAGAGTCACCCCCATTTCCCCCAACAATCTGGCCCCTCATTTTACTGACGTCAGAAAGATGGAAGGAAGGCTGAGTCAATAACCTTGAGCCGGTCAGGATCGAACTCCTGACAGTGGGCAGAGCTTGCCTGCAATACCGCATTGCAACCACTGCGCCACCACCACGGCTCTAAATCAAAATAAAACCCCGCTAGAGATTTGGGAGAAATGCGCGCAGAAAAGTGAATGAGGTGGGCAAGGAAGGTCTTCCAGCTTTGTTTAGCCCTTAAAAGCGGTTACGCTTTGAGCAACACCGGCAGTTTGCAGAGGTTCAGGGTGCTTTGTGGAACAACCACGTAACATTGTACACATGTAGTACTTTGACAATAAAGGATTTGATTTGACGTGATTTGATCAGAACTAGCTGAACGGGCGGAGGCAAATTGGACCTCTGAAGCTGAAAAATGTGGATTAAATACACGCCACCTGACCAGAGCTTCAGGTTATCGTGTCTTCTCCAAAGCAGAGGGATAACTTTCGTTCTAACACCAAAATACACAAACGGACTTTTGGTAACCTCCGAAACAATAACAGCCGCTGGTCTCCCACAGCACCTGCCGCGCTCGAAAATGGGAGTGCACGGAAAACGTCTGCGATGGAAAGTGCTCGGTCATCGGCGCAGCGCACTATTTGACCTTCGATGGGCTGAAATACAGATTTCCCGGCAACTGTCAGTATGTGCTTGTTCAGGTAAAGATTTGGGATGGGATGCTCTGAGGGGAAAGGCAGTGGTGGTTCGGATCGCACCGAGAGTAAAAGGACCCAGGCCATAAAGAAAATGTTGCTTTTGTTTGGATGCTTTATAGAAATGTTGTCGGAAGGAATAGACTTCCCCACAGATTTTGCATTAGGTTGCACTGCTGGGGATCTTTAATAAAGCTCAGATTTTGGTGTTCTTGGTCTGAACCACTGAGAAGAGGAAGGGAGGCAGGAAAGCAGATAAAGGAAAATCAGTGGAATAGAATAGAATGAGAAATGAATAGAATAGAATAGAATAGAATAAGAAATGAATTAGAATAGAATAGAATAAGAAATGAATAGAATAGAATAGAATAGAATAGAATAGAATAAGAAATGAATTAGAATAGAATAGAGTAGAGTAGAGTAGAGTAGAGTAGAGTAGAGTAGAGTAGAGTAGAATAGAATAGAATAGAATAGAATAGAATAGAATAGAGCTGGAAGGGACCTTGGAGGTCTTCTAGTCCAGCCCCCTGCTCAAACAGGAGAACCTACACCATCTCAGACAGGTGGATGTCCAGTCTCTTCTTAAAAATCTCCAGTGATGGAGCACCCACAATTTTGGGGGGTAAACTGTTCCTCTGGTTGATTGTCCTCACTGTCAGGAAGTTTCCCCTTAATTCCAGGTTGCTTCTCTCCTTGATTAGTTTCCAACCATTGTTTCTCGTCCTTCCCTCTGGTGCTCTGGTGAACAACCTGGCCCCCTCTGCCTTGTGGCGGCCCCTCAGATACTGGAAGACTGCTATCATGTCTCCCCTATTTCTTCTTTTCCTTTAGACTAGTCAAACCCAAGTCCTGCAGCCATTCTTCCCAAGGGTTTCCTCAAGAAATCCCAAGGGTTAGGGGCTACCCATTCTCCAAAACGCCGAGGGGCTTACAAAGGTTAAAATCATCCCAATACAAATAACATATCAGCAACACACAGCAAGGACAAATCATAGAATTGGGCTGGAAGGGACCTTGGAGATCTTCTAGTCCAACCCCCTGCCGAGCAGGAGACCGTATCCCATTCCAGACAAATCATTGTCCAGCCTCTTCTTAAAAACCTCCAGTGATGGAGCACCCCAACTTCTGGAGGCCTTGCAACCTCTGGACAGGACATCTTTGAAGATGAAGTTCTGTAGGCCAATTTCAAAAGTCTGCTGTCGATCCTTCTTTTCTTTTCAAGGACCACTGCGAAGAGGACGTTGCTGGGTCCTTTTGGATACTTGTGGCCAACGAAGGATGTGGCTTCACCAAAGAGACATGCACGCGAAGGATCACTGTTTTGTTCGACAGGGGAGAGATTGAGCTACACGATGGAGAAGTAAGTTCATCCCCTCCTCACAGCTTCCACCAGCTCATGTGTGGAAGAGGGGATTTTGATGGCTTCTTTTGAGAGGGACTCCAAAGGGTCTTCTGTTGAAACTGGTCAGACTGTGGAATGACCAAGTTACATCGGAACTAGCCGAACGGCCGGAGGCAAATTTGAACTCTGAAGCTGAAAAATGTGGATTAAATACGTGCCACCTGACCAGAGCTTTACGAAGCTTCAGGTTATCGTGTTTTCTCCAAAGCAGAGGGATAACTTTCAGTCTAACACCAACTGTTGTAAATCGAGGATTACCTGTACATTTTTCTCACAATGGAATGAACGTTAGCTAACGTTTCTTGCCCCGTGGAATAGTCTGTTGTTCATTAAAGTTGAAAGCAGACCGATTACTAGAGGCCGACGTGGCGTCCCATTGTTGAAAGTGCTTTAATTCTTTTTCCTCGTGAAGGTTAATGTCCTCACACCTCCGAGAGAAGAAGGAAACGTGGAAATTTTGAAGTCTGGCCGTTACTATATTCTGATATTGGGGCGAGGAAGAATCTCCCTGTCTTGGGATCAAAACATGGGAATTACCGTTATCTTGAAAGAACACTACAGAGTAAGTCCTTTCGGATTTATTACATTTTTTTTAACGCCGTGTATTTATTTATTTTTATTTATTTATTATTTGGATTTATATCCCGCCCTTCTCCTCGTAGGACTCAGGGCAGCTGACAATAAATTAAAATACATAAATAACAATACAAATTTAAAATTAATTAAAAGAGATATTTAAATATTGTCCGATTTAAAATATAATTAAAACCCCTCTAAAAATTACCCTAGGCCAGTCCTGCAAGCTGGAATAACCAAGTCTTGAGGGCGCGGCGAAAGGAAGGGAGATCAGGGATAACCCTGATCTCTGGGGGCAGTTCATTCNNTCAGCACCTTGAAGCGCACCCGGAAGGCCACAGGCAGCCAATGCAGCTCGCGCAGCAGCGGCGTCACGTGGGAACGTCGAGTCCCCCCCAACACCGCCCGCGCGGCCGCATTTTGGACCAGCTGGAGCCTCCGGGTGCTCCTCAAGGGGAGCCCCATGTAGAGAGCATTACAGTAGTCCAGGCGGGAGGTGACAAGTGTATGTCGATGAAGATTCGGTGTCCTCCAGAGAGAGTTGTCTGGAAGTTGAGCGATGGGCTTCTTTTCATTTTGGGGTTCACAACGGTTTGCTGCTTCTCCGAGGAGCTTCTTCCATCTGAGCCAGCTGGGCAGGGAGACCCTTGGATGGGACAAGCTCCTTGGAGAAACCGCGAAAACTTTCAGACTTAAAAAAAAGAAAAGTCCGGTTGCCACAACTCAGATTCCGGATTAGTAATAGCTTGTTTACTACGTGGTTACTAAAAGAGTCAAGAATTCAGGCAGGATTATCTATTTATTTATTTAGCACAGGGCAAAAATGTTTTTAAAAAAGCACATCACAATTACATTCTCAATGAGCAAATATCAAATTAGTTGACAGAGTTGGAAGGGACCTTGGAGGTCTTCTAGTCCAGTCCTCTGCTCAAACAGGAGATCCTATAGAGCCGTAGTGGTGCAGTGGTGAGAATGTGGTATTGCAAGCTAATTCTGCTGACTGCCAGGAGTTCGATCCTCACCGGCTCAAGGTTGACTCAGCCTTCCGTCCTTCCAAGGTCGGTAAAATGAGGACCCGATTGTTGGAGGCAATATATGCTGACTCTGTAAACCGCTTAGAAGGGGTTGTAAAGCACTGTGAAGCGGTATATAAGTCTAAATGCTATTGCTATTGCTATACCATTTCAGACAAATGGTCATCCAATTTCTTCCTAAAAACTTCCAGTGTTGGACCACCACCAATTTCTGGAGGCAAGTCGTTCCACTGGTTGATTGTCCTCACTGTCAGGAAGTTTCTCCTTAGTTCCAGGTTGCTTCTCTCCTTGATGAGTATCCATCCGTTGCTTCTCGTCCTGCCTTCAGGTGGCTTTGGAGAATACTGGATCAATGTATTCTTCAAAGCACTTGAAGGCAGGACCATCTTCTTTGTGGAAAGCCCCTCAAATATTGGAACGCTACTACCCGTTAATTAATGGTCTTAATTAACACCCATGAATTAATCGTCTTCCTGTTGAAGGAGAAGGAAGATGACATTTCTTTGGCTTGTCCCTTGACAGGATAAAGTCTGTGGCCTGTGTGGGAATTTTGATGGCATCCCAAACAACGATCTGAGAAGCAGTCGGAAGCAGATTGAAGTTGATCCAAGTGACTTTGGGAATTCTTGGAAAGTTCACTCACAGTGTGCTGATGTCGGAAAGGTATGTGTAAAAATGTGTTGCACCTCTGTTGGGATTAGGGATGGTGCCAATCTCCATTTTCAAAATGTTTTAATGTCAGGGTAGAAAAACCAGTAGAGTACCCTAGTATCCAACTCTCTTTATCCAATAATAAAGGAGGAAAACTCTCTTTGCCAAGATGCCTAGAAATAATCTGAAAAACTATCTTAATTTCTGCGAATGGTGGTTAAGCGCCGTTTCTCAAACTTCGCCAGTTTAAGACATGTGGACTTCAACTCCCAGATATTCCCCAGCCAATTGGGATCCACACATCTTAAAATCGCCAAGGTTGAGAAATGCTACACTAGACCAATAGGAAGGCTGTTGTATTATTGTATCACTTGCATTATTAGTAGAATAAAAGTGAATTGGCAGGGGGTTTTTTTCCACTGAAGAGTCCACAGATTGGCCACAGTGATTTTGTTCCTTGACGGCTCAGTAAATCATCTTTTATATTATTCGTTACACAAAATAGTATAATTATCCTAACGTTTTGGGGTTAAGCGCAATGGAAACTTTACTCACGGTCCTGGTTTCCAAGTGTATAGAATGATGCTGCTAGAGGAAATTCAGAGAAATCAAAGAATTTGCAACTTCAATTAGATTATTTATCCAACACAAAATTCAAGCTACAGTGTCTTCCGAATACAAGATGTTATTTACTTCCTGTCTCGAGATCAAATAATTTATATGAAATTACACAATGGGATTACAGATATGAATGGTACGGAATTGCCGAAGGAGACAAGTTAACACTAAAAGAAATATCATTATTTTTCTGATTAGTGGGATAGGCCAGAATCAAAACAGCTTCAAAAACAGGTAGACCTCAACTTACGAACACAACTTAGCTCAAAATTTCTCTTGTTAAGTGAGACATTTGTTAAGTGAGTTCCCCCCCCCCAATTTTATGACTTTTCTTGCCATAGTTAAGTGAATTACTGCAGTTGTTAAGTTATAACCTGGGTCCCCGTTGTCAGAAGGTCAAAAAAGGAAATCACATGATCTTAGGACATAGCAACCGTCATGTCAGCTGCCAAGGGCCTGAATTTTGATCACGTGACCATTGCGGGGGAGTGTCAGGTGTTGTGTGTTGAAAATGGTCATAAGTCACTTTTTTCTCAGTGCTGTTGTGTAATTTTGAACAGTCCCTAAATCAGTGATGGCGAACCTTTTAGAGATCAAGTGCCCCAACCCCCCGCCCCCCCTGCCCTGCCCCGCCCACTCCACCCTGCCCCACCTGCTGGGCCACCCACCACCTCCACGGCCCGCCGCAGATTGCTCAGGCGGCCCTGCAGCACCATGGTGGACACATCTTCCATCCGCGCCCAAAAGCATCATGTACGTGCAACAGGGCGCGAGGGCGGAGTCTTGTCCCTGCTGCCCAGCTGCCATGTGCTTGGCTGCGCTGCTTCGCACCCAGGGCTGACTCTCCTCTGGGGGGGCTGCTGATGAGGGGGTGGCAGGGTTGGGGCGATGGCACGCATGCCCACAGAGAGGGCTCTGAGTACCGCCTCTGGCACATGTGCCATAGGTTCACCACCACTGCCCTAAATGAACTGTTGTTAAGTCGAGGACTGCCTGTATACTTTTGTCCAGAAAGCTACCGTTAAGAAAAAAATTCTTGGCTTTTCGTTGTGTGAGAATCAGATTTTATTTATTTATTTTTCCTAAGAAATGAACACCAGATCTTTTGATTTGCTCCCACTTATTGAGATGTATGTGTGTGATTTCCGAGAAGGAACGTTCATCTCTCATTGCTATGAAGATGCTAAGTTGACAGATAATCGATATAGACACACATTTCTTGGCATTGTAACATATTTCTTCTCTTTTTTGCAGCTTTCCCAAGGACAGGACCTGGCAGCTTCGCTGTGCAACGGCCACGCAATAAAACAGGTGAAGGTGGAGACCTCCTGCAGTGTCTTGAATAGCGAACTCTTCAAAGAATGCAAAAAACTGGTAAGCCCTTTCTTATCCAGCTGATAACCCCCATTCGGGCGCCCGTTGCCAGGCTAGGTGACATCTTTAGCAAAGTTTAGGGGGAATGTCAGTGTCTACCCTTGAGATACATACATTGCCCTGAAGAGTTCATTGTTGGTGGGAGCTGGTTTATGGGACCTTCTAAACTTTAAAGTTTGTATTGTGAGTGGACCTTGTTTCTTGGAGGCTGTGGAGATCTTCTCCAGAGCGTAAGAGTTTGACTCATACTACTTCCGTCATAGGTGGATCCTGAGCCTTATGTGGAAATCTGCATGTACGACACCTGTGCATGTGAGTCCATTGGGGACTGTGCCTGTTTCTGTGACGCCATTGCTGCTTACGCCCATGCGTGTGCCCAGAAAGGCGCAGTGATCCATTGGAGGTCTCCTACTCTATGCCGTAAGTGCTGGGGAGAGAATGAACTAATCTCCTTTCTCAAACAACACAGACAGAGAGAGAGAGAGAGAGACAGAGAGACAGAGAGTGAAAGAGAGAGAGAGCAGACATGAGTCAGTTGCCAAGTGTCCGAATTTTGATCATGTGACCATGGGGATGCTACAACAGTAGTAAGTGTGAAAAACAGTGCTGTTTTCAGTGCTATTGTAACTTTGAACAGTCACTAGCTAGTGATGTTGCATGATGTAACCTAGTTTGGGTAAAGAAACATCTGCAAGAAAACAGCCAAGCTCAGAGAGCACCAAGGACCCCTCATTTACAGATGTTCATTTAAAAAAATATGGAATGTTTACATGGCACAAGATTCCCATCATTTTTTATTTGATGTTTTGTAGCACAAAGTTGTGAAAGTATGAACAAAGTGGAGGAAGAATATCAATGTGAATGGCGATACAACAGCTGTGGCCCCGCCTGTCCAAGGACGTGCCAGCACATGGATCCAATTGCATGTCCCGTCAAGTGTGTTGAAGGATGCCATCCCCNAGCATCATCTACGTGCGACAGGGTGCAAGGGCGGAGTCTTGTCCCTGCTGCCCAGCTGCCATGTGCTTGGCTACGCTGCTCCATGCCCGGGGGTGACTCTCCTCTGAGGGGGCTGCTGATGAGGGGGTGGCAGGACTGGGGCGACAGCGCACGTGCCCACAGAGAGGGCTCTGAGTGCCGCCTCTGGCATGCGTGCCATAGGTTCACCACCACTGCCCTAAATGAACTGTTGTTAAGTCGAGGACTGCCTGTATACCTTTGTACAGAAAGCTACCATTAAGAAAAAATTCTTGGCTTTTCGTTGTGTGAGAATCAGATTTTATTTATTTATTTTTCCTAAGAAATGAACACCAGATCTTTTGATTTGCTCCCGCTTATTGAGATGTATGTGTGTGATTTCCGAGAAGGAACATTCATCTCTCATTGCTATGAAGATGCTAAGCTGACAGATAATCGATATAGACACACATTTCTTGGCATTGTAACATATTTCTTCTCTTTTTGCAGCTTTCCCAAGGACAGGATCTGGCAGCTTCGCTGTGCAACGGCCACGCAATAAAACAGGTGAAGGTGGAGACTTCCTGCAGTGTCTTGAATAGCGAACTCTTCAAAGAATGCAAAAAACTGGTAAGCCCTTTCTTATCCAGCTGATAACCCCCATTCGGGCGCCGGTGGCTGGGCAACTGTTTGCCATCTGAATCACTAGGGCAATTCAGAAATAAACGTCCGTATGAGCATGTGCGAGAAATAGGCGGGGATAGCGATGCCTGTCCTATGGCACCATGCGCAGTAGTTCAGTAGGCAGTGAGGAGCGGAAGGAGAAAGTGGCGTTGCAGTTGACTCGTTTGCTAGACCAATTGAAAACGAACCAGTTTTTTTCAATAAAAAACAGTGGCTTGCATCGCGCACCGCTTTGACAATGACAATCCGCTTCATGATGCTGTTACAGGGTGGCTTCGTTCCCAGGTGGGATATTTTTTTTTTGCGGAAGGAATTTCCAACTTTGTGAGACGTTACGACAAGGGCCTCAATTTGAATGGCGATTATATTGGAGAATCATGTCATGTTGTAGTTTTCTAATGTGTATAGTAAAAGTTCTGTATCTGTGAGAGCCTGTCATTGATAACTAAATGGAGGTTTGTTTCCAAATTGCCCTCATAATAACTAACCCAGATGCTTAGTACAAATGAAGGTGAATATACGCATCCTAGGCAGTGATGGGATTCAGCTGGTTTGCACCGGTTCGGCAGAAACGGTAGCTAAATTTTGTTGAGTTCGGAGAACCGGCTGAATGCATACCGCTTCCAGAAGTCTGTTCTAGGGCTGGGAGGCCTAGAGGAGGCCTCCCAGACCTGGAACGGCCTGCCAGAAGTGCATGGATGCCACTTCCAGAAGTCCGTTCTAGGCCTCGGAAGGCCCAGGCCTGCATCCACGCAGGGAACCAGTTGTTCAGGGATTTGAATCCCACCATTGGTCCCAGGATAATGTTGCAGGATCTAATGTGTGTCGGTCACCGGGACCAAAGGGTTAGTATTCTGAGCTTTTGGACGTGTTCTGGAGTCCATCTTTAGGGACTGAGAAATCCTGAGAAATTTCCTGAGAATGGGATCCACCACGAGTCCAAAAGCTTGGAAGATTAAACCTCTAGTCCCGGTGACCAACCCAGATTGGATCCTGTAGATGCTTAGTGTTTGCTTGGTGGGTAAAGGTTCATACTCCAAGCTTGTGGGTTGATTTCTGAATGTTTTGTTACCAGGCTAGGTGACATCTTCAGCAAAGTTTAGGGGGGGTGTCAGTGTTTGCCCTTGAGATAGATTCCTTGCCCTGAAGAGTTCACTGTTGGTGGGAGCTGGTTTATGGGACCTTCTAAACTTTAAAGTTTATATTGTGAGTAGACGTTGTTTCTTGGAGGCTGTGGAGATCTTCTCCAGAGCGTAAGAGTTTGACTCGTACTACTTCCGTCATAGGTGGATCCTGAGCCTTATGTGGAAATCTGCATGTACGACACCTGCGCATGTGAGTCCATTGGGGACTGTGCCTGTTTCTGTGACGCCATTGCTGCTTACGCCCATGCGTGTGCCCAGAAAGGCGCAGTGATCCATTGGAGGTCTCCTACTCTATGCCGTAAGTGCTGGGGAGAGAATGAACTAATCTCCTTTCTCACACAACACAGACAGACAGACAGAGAGAGAGAGAGAGAGAGAGAGAAAGAGAGACAGACAAATAGAGAGTGAAAGAGAGAAAGAGAGAGAGCAGACATGAGTCAGTTGCCAAGTGTCCGAATTTTGATCATGTGACCATGGGGATGCTACCACAGTAGTAAGTGTGAAAACCGGTGCTGTTTTCAGTGCTGTTGTAACTTTGAACAGTCACTAAATGAACTGTTGCAAGTTGAGGACTACCTGTATAGCAATAGCAATCGCAGTTAGACTTATATACCACTCCATAGTGCTTCATGGCCTTCTCTGAGCACTTTACAGAGTCAGCCTGTTGCCCCCCAACAATCTGGGTCCTAAGTTTTACCGACCTTGGAAGGATGGAAGGCCGAGTCAACCTTGAGCCGATCAGGATCAAACTCCTGGCAGTGGTCAGAGTCAGCCTGCAATGTTGCATTCTAACCACCGCACCACCACGGAATATGATCTATATTAACCCCGTCAATTTTTGTTAGTTTGAGAATTGCGGAAAGTTAATATATAGGAAGTATAGAAAAGATTTTCTTGAGCTGGATAATGAAACATCTGCAAGAAAACAGCCAAGCTCAGAGAGCACCAAGGACCCCTCATCTACAGATGTTCATTTAAAAAAAATATGAATGTTTACATGGCACAAGATTCCCATCATTTTTTATTTGATGTTTTGTAGCACAAAGTTGTGAAAGTATGAACAAAGTGGAGGAAGAATATCAATGTGAATGGCGATACAACAGCTGTGGCCCCGCCTGTCCAAGGACGTGCCAGCACATGGATCCAATTGCATGTCCCGTCAAGTGTGTTGAAGGATGCCATCCCCACTGTCCCGCAGGTAAGCATCTCCACTCCATGCGTAACGTCTGGTCAAGAGGACTTTACTTGGAGTTCCACTCTTACTTAAATAATAGGATAGTTTTCTCTCCTCTAAAGTAGGGAGAAGCAAGTTGTTGTCCTTCAACTGCCTAATGCTTTGATCAGGAATGACATTCAGTCATGGCTGATTGGAGATACAACATAATTCAGATTTGGGAAATGTGGTTGCGTGGTTAGAAGACTCAACTCTACCCCATGAAGTTCCTCATGTATAGGTCATCTCTCCTGTCGTATTAGCTGAGTTGGTTACAGCTAGTAGAGCCGAAGATAATACTCCCTACTTAACCTTCCTTTATGAGCTCTTGTAAATTTTACACTGATAAGACATGCAAAGGATTTGGGACCTTGAAAGTAAGAAAGAATAGATGCTTTTTTCCACGAGGCAACTGGACTTTCTCGTTTTTCTTTCTCATCCAAGAAGCTTCTTCAGTTCTGACTGGATGGTGGAGAATGGAAAGATTTATACTCTTTGCAGACAGCTGGTTATTTGCCTTCTTTTAGAGAGTCACTGAGGCCACTTGGGGGTTTATAAATGATTGAAGGAATATAAATTCTTCCACTCCCCACCATTCAGTCAGAGACGAAGCTCCTTGGATAAGAAGTGAAATGCCTTCAAAGAAAAACGAGAATAGTCCAGTTGCCTCATGCAAAAAAGCACCTTTGGGACAAGGTATATTGTTGCATTTTTTTAAAGAAATTAAACTCATTCTCCAACAATTTTGTAAAACAGGAAAAATTCTCGACGAGCTTTCTGAGTCTTGCATCAAACTCGAAGAATGCCCGGTGTGTGAAGTAGAAGGTCGCAGAATTGCTGATGGGAAGAAGATCATTTTGAACCAGGAGAATTCTCAGCTCTGCCAATCCTGGTAAAATAGAGAACTCGGTGGAATTTAAGGGAGGGGAACAGGAGAAATTAAGGCAGAAAAGAAATGTAGATTATATTCCACGTACTCTCCATAGCTCTGGATTTTAGCAGGAGTATGTGGGTTAGGAGTTTGGCAAAGTTTTCTAAGGGGATCAGTTGGATTAGTCTGCAACAGTCCTGAAGGATTGTTAATCACATTTCACAAAACCAAAGCTACTCCCAAGAGGATGCTCTGGCCGAAACCAGAATAATTAGCATTTTTTGAGTATAGAAAGTTTTCTGATTTTTTAAAGTTCATGTTTAAAGCGAATAATATGCTCTTTTCCCATTAAGCAGGATTGTTTTTAAAAAATTAGGTAAGTCAAACCACTGTTAATAATTTGTAGTCTGAACTCAATTCATGTCATGGTTCCGACAGATGAAACTCTTCAAAAGAACTTTGAGGCATTGTTTACCTTAAAGAATCTTTATTCTGAGTAGCATAATATTGGCACTGCATAATCGAAGCCAAAAACTGAATTCCCCTCCCCTCAACCCATAATATCAAAGCACAATTCCCTCCTTCAATTAACAGTCATAAATCACATTCCCCAATTAGCTTGAAGCGTGGGCTTCCTCTCCAGTTCTCCAGCCCGGCCAATTCTATATCAGCTCTGGTTACAATAACCTTTATTCTCACATTAGGTTTAGTGTTGTGATGTCTAGATAGACTCTCATTCACATCCCCATCCCTCCCAGCACCATCTAACTCTAAAAGCAAAAGGTAAAAGATGGCTACATTTCCATCTGTTGTCAATGCAAAAACATCCGATGTTAGCAGGTTGACACCAGAACAATTAGCATTTTTTGAGTATAGAAAGTTTTCCAATTTTTTAAAAAATGGAGTTTATGTTTAAAGCGAATAATACGCTCTTTTCCCACAAAGCAGGATTTTTTTTAAAAAAAAATAGCTAGGTCAAACCACTGTTAGTAATTTGTAGTCTGAAGTCAATTCAATAACTTCAATAATTCTTCTCTAGGGAGAAGACAAACTTCAGGATCTTTCTTTAAAAAAAAATACTTTGGGAAGCTGGTGACAGGATGCTTATTTGAACTCCATTTTTCCCTTCCAGGCATTACCTATCAATGCATTTTTCTCCATCTCTGTTATTCATTGAAGTCACTGTCTCAAAAAAAAAAAAAGAATTCAAATTATGACATTCTGATTGATCACCTTTGTTCCACTGAGTGAAAAATAGCCAGCCATTTGCTTGTTTCAAATACTGGCCCACAATTTGGAAGTACACATAATTACCTAGAATTATATTTATTCTAAAGGGGAGAGGGGTTGCAGTGGATCAGGGGTTAAGATGCTGGGCTTGTTGGATAGAAAACTGGCAGCGCAGGTTTGAGACCCAAGCACCATGCAATGGGTGAGTTCCCGTCCTTGCCTCAGCTCTTGCCAATTTAGCAGTTTGAAAACATGCAAATGTGAGTAGATAAATAGGTACCACTTCAGTGTGGGGGTAAGAGTGCTCCGTGACATCATGCTAGCCACGTCATTGCGGAAATGTCTTCGGACAGTGCTGGCTCAATGGCCTTGAAAAGGAGATGAGTACCGCCCTCTATAGTCAGCAATGATCAGCGGAGTAAAATCTGCAGGGACTCCTTTTTTACTTATTCTAAAAGGGATAGAATTATGAAATGCAAATATTTAAAAAAAGATTTAATGTCAAGGACAGGAAATTGGGAGTCCAGCAGTTCAAATGTATATAGGTTTATTGTATGCTAATGCTCTCTACAAGAGTCTGAACTACTGACAGTCAAAGTAAATTGGAGGTAGATAAGAGTCAATGGAATTCAGTCAATGGACTGAGATCTCTTGTGGGCACAAAGAGACTCAAGACTAATGACATATTTCACTCCTCCCTCAGGCTCAGCCTAGTCATCTCCTACATTTAATCCACATATAACACAGAGGTTGAAATGAGGTTTTAACCATTCGTTTTTTCCTACTTTGTTAGCCATTGCGAAGTACGAAACCTGACGTGCCGCCCTTGTGATCCGGAAGAGGCTGGCAAATTCCTGACCACTGTTAGTCCAGATAAAAAAGAAGAAGAAGAAACGGAGGAAGAAGAAGAAGGAGAAGAAGAAGAAGAAGAACCCACACGTGAATATTCCTGTAGCAAAATGATGGACCTGGCCATCTTAATGGACGGTTCCAATAAGCTTTCCGAGAGCGATTTTGAAGAGTTGAAAAACTTCACCATTAGCATGATGGAAAAACTCCACATCTCCCAAAAAAGGATCCGCTTGGCCGTCCTGGAGTACCGCACCGGTTCACACATTTACCTTGGTCTGAAGGACATTAAGAAGTCAAAAAGAATGAAGAGGATTGTGCAAAATATAAAATACACGGGTGGGAATGTAGCCTCTGCCACCGAGGTGCTCAAATACGTTGTGTTCCATGTGTTCGGCAAGGCGCCACGCACAAACGCGGCCCGAATTGCCATGATATTTATGGCAAGCAAGGACCCCAAGAGAATCCAGGGGATCTTCCCGATTTTGAAAAAAAAGAAAATAATTGTGATACCAGTAGGCCTTGGACCCCACGTGAGCAAAGAACAAATTTCACTACTAGAACGGCAGTCGCCAGAAAACAGAGCCTTCCTGATGAACAGTGTGCTTGAGTTAAGGCAACGCACGGATGAAATAATTGACTACTTCTGTGGCCTTGTGCCTGAAGTCAGTGTGGTTCTTTCCACCCGACGCCCCATCCCAACTCTCCCCAGTGTGCGTATGGGGACCTACCCTCCCGGTTTGACAGAGGTACCGTCAACACAGGTTTCTATCTCTGTTGAGAAGATCCTGGACATTGTCTTTTTAATTGAAGGGTCCGGCAAAGTCGGCAAGAACAATTTCGAGACCATCAAAGAGTTTCTTATCCGTACCATCCAGGAGTTGGAAGTAGGAGAAGAGACCGTTCACGTTAGCATCCTACAGTATTCCTTCACCATCACCGTGGAGCATTCTTTCAGGGAACGCCAGTCCAAGGAACTCCTCATTAAGAAGGTGAGGGAGATGAAATTCCAGGGAGGCAACGCAACCAACACTGGACAGGCGCTCAACTTCGTCTCTGAGCAGTCGTTTACCACCAACAGAAGAACCGAGCAGGTGCCCCACTTGGTTTACATGGTTACTGCAAATCCCTCCACGGATACCATCGTTCGTCCTTCCAGTGATGTCCATATTATTCCGATTGGCATAAGGCCTAGTGTAGACATCCAGGAACTCGAAGAATTAAGTCAGTCACAGGCTCCTATTATCATAGAAGGCTTCAACAATCTCATCAAAGAAGGACCAGACTTGGTCCTCAGAACCTGCTGCTCCAAGAACGGTAATGTCTGCTTTATTTGTTGTTGTTGTTTTTATTTTTTTATTTTAAAAAAAATGTTTTATTGATTTTTTAACATAATCACCTTAATATTTGGTAAACAGCATGTTGTCTGGGTTAGTATTTACAAAACAATAACAATTAATTTCTATAATTCTATAGTCCATATCATCGCTTTGCTTGATCTTCTCTTCTTCCAATACTATTCTCTTTTGCCAACCTTAAATTAGTACTTTTCTTATTATTTGAATAAAGGACAATTGAATGTCGACATTTTTCCTCGTGTTTCTGCAAATCATAACCATATCAGTATAACATTTCTTTTCTAATTGATCATCTTGATTGCCTCGTCATAGATCCTGTTTACAAAATTCTTGTTTAAATTTGTTTTCCCCCACAATGTTCAAAGCATTCTTACTGGTTAAGATTTTCTCAAAATTAGTTACACTTAAGTATTTAAGTCTTTTTTTTTCTCATACAAGCTTGTTGTTGTTTTTAAAGTTGGGAACAGAAGCTAAATGATTGTCTCAAAGGTGCTTTTTCAAGAGATTTTTTTTTCTTGAAGATATTTTGCTTCTCATCCAAGAAGCTTCTTCGGTTGTGGTGGGGAATGGAAGGATTTATATGCCTTGCAGTCATCTGTCATTAGCACCCTTTCTGATGACTGCAATTGCACAGGCATATGATGTACAATTTTATTGTTTCCCTAACTTTCTACTTGTCCTCATGGGTTGTTTTTTGTGAAGTTACCCTACTTGCCAGTTGTCTAGTATAGAAACCTTGATGATGTAACGATTTAAAACCTTCCTCAGAATTTTGCACCAAGCCCATGGATGTGATATTTCTCCTGGACGGGACCTCAGATGTTGAAGAAGCTCAGTTTGAGGAAATGAAACGTTTTGTGAAAGCATTTATTGAACACGCTGATGTGGGTGAGTAATTACCTCGTGGGAGACTTCGGGATGTTCTGAATTTGTTGCCTACAAGAAGAAGGCTTTAAAGTAAACCCATAAAGTCTTCTTAAAAGGAAGGTTGATTTGTCTCCATGGAGCATTGTAAACATTAGCATAGGAATCTACCTCATCTACCTGGTGGCGCAGTGGTGAGAATGCAGTACTGCAGGCAAACTCTGCCCACAGTCAGGAGTTCGATCCTGACCGGCTCAAGATTGACTCAGCCTTCCATCCTTCCAAAGTCGGTAAAATGAGGACCCAGATTGTTATGGACAATATGCTGTAAACCACTTAGAGAGGGCTGTAAAGCTCTGTGAAGCGGTATATAAATCTAAGTGCTATTGCTATCTAAGCTGTGGTGGCACAGTGGTTAGAATGCAGCATTGCAGGCTAACTCTGCCCACTGCCAGCAGTTCGATCCTGACCGGCTCGAGGTTGACTCAGCCTTCCATCTTTGCAAGGTCGGTAAAATGAGGACCCGGATTGTTGGGGGTAATATGCTGACTCTGTAAACCGCTTAGAGAAGGCTGTAAAGCACTGTGAAGCGGTATATAAGTCTAAATGCTATTGCTACTGCTATAAGAAGGGCCTTGCTCTTCAGAGTAACTTCTGCTGCTTATGGTCCTACTTCCACACTAAAATTATTTCTGTGCCAGAGGTTGACACTTCCTTGGAACTGAAAGTTACACCTTCCTTATTCGGTACTCTGATGAAGTGGCTAAGCAGAGAACAGATCCTTTTGCACTGACTCTTAGGATCAATTGGGTTAACCACAAATCTGAGCCGTGTAGCTGTCTTATTTTGATGCAACAAAACCCAGAAACATATTCAGCCACTTGGAGGAATAATTTATTTGCTAACGTTAAAAGCTTTTGGAAAGCGAACAATTTTTCTGCAGGTATGAATTTGCTAATCTTCAAGCTGCTACAACAGAAAGCTTTTTTGTTGATTAACAAATAGAAAGGTGCAACTTCTCTTTTTTATAAAAAAAAATAAAAATGTCTTGATATGTGTCTCCAGAGTGGGGTGGGGGGTGGGAAAAACGCACTAAAGAAACCAAAGACAAGGTCATCCAACTTTCACTGCATCATTCACAAAACCTGCAGTCCTAAAACTAATAGAATTTGTACTGTCAGTGGGTAGCTGAGCAAGCATAAAGAAATCTATATTCTTTTTTTTTTAGAAATGTTTTATTGATTTTTTTTACAATAACAATCTTTAGTGCCTAGTGGACGGCGTGTTGTCTTGGTTCATAAATTTTGAAAAAAAAACCCTCCAATCAACAGTAGTTAATTAACAGTCAATAATAATTAATTTTTGTACTTCCATAATTGGTACATTAATTAATAATCTATTTCTTTGATCTTCCCTTCTCCCAATAGTAATCTCCTCCTTCAACCTTAAACAAATATAATTCTTAATATTTCCTTTTTTTTTTTTTATTGAAAATTTTTAAAAGTTTTACAATATATCTCCCCACCTCCCTCAAGCCCCACCCTTTCCCACCCCCCTCCCTTCCCCCCCGATTTCCCAGAGCTACACACAGGGTTTACAATACAATAATTATACTCTGTCTTAAATTATATTACCCTTAAGTTAACAATTCTATAACATCCTTTAGCTCTCTCCTAAACTAACATATCAAATCATTATTACAAAATTGATTCTTAATATTTCCAATACATAAATGGTTAAATATAAACATTTTTTCATGTCTGTACAAATAAGAATAACATCCACGTATGACAATTTTTTTTATCCACTCATGTTGTTTTTTATAAAAATCTTATGAGTTGGCCATATATCCTATTTTCATAATTCAGTCTTTTTAATTGATCTATTTCCTTCCCTGAATCTTCTGGGAATCTTCCTCTCCAGGTCATTCTTGGACTCAAGTTGCGGTACTTCAATATGGAAAAGTGAACTCTCTGGAGATTTCATGGAATGTACTCCAGGAAGAAAGAAATCTTCTGAAAAAGGTGGACTCCATTCATCAAAGAGAGAAAGGCCCAAGCAGACTAGGTATTGCAAAGATTGTGCTTTAATCAATTCTAAGAAGGTTTGTTGAACTAGTGATGGTTATTCTTGTATTTATTAATAGAATAGAATAGAATAGAATAGAATAGAATAGAATAGAATAGAATAGAATAGAATAGAATAGAATAGAAGGAGAAGGAGAAGGAGAAGGAGAAGGAGAAGGAGAAGGAGAATTGAGAAGAGAAGAGAAGAGAAGAGGAATAGAATAGAATAGAATAGAATAGAATAGAATAGAATAGAAGGAGAAGAAGGAGAAGAAGGAGAAGAGAAGAGAGAAGAGGAATGGGAATAGAATAGAATAGAATAGAATAGAATAGAATAGAATAGAATAGAAGAAGGAGAAGAAGGAGAAGAGAAGAGAGAAGAGGAATGGGAATAGAATAGAATAGAATAGAATAGAATAGAATAGAATAGAATAGAATAGAATAGAATAGAATAGAATAGAATTGGAAGGGACCTTAGAGATCTTCTAGCCCATCCCCCTGCTCAGGCAGGAAACCCTATACCATTTCAAACAAATGGTTGTCCAATCTCTTCTTTAAAATTTTCAGTGTTGGAGCATTCCTTCTGGTGGCAAGTTGTTCCACTGATTAATTGTTCTCACTGTCGGGAAATTCCTCCTTAGTTCCATCCAGGAGAGCTTTTCTCCTTGATGAGTTTCCACCCGTTGCTTCTTGTCCTGCCTTCAGGGGCTTTGTAGGATAGCTTGACTCCCTCTTCTTTGGGGCAACCCCTGAGAGATTGGAAGACTGCTATCACGTCACTCCTAGTCCTTCTTTTCATTAAACTAGACATACCCAATACATTTAAATTGTATTAATACAATATCTATTTAACATTGGTTTTAGAAAACCTGGCAAACTAAAGTTCATGTTACAGTAGCAGGGAGAAAATCTGGAATTTTAGTCTATTTAAGAGGGCCCATTAAAAGCCATCTTATGTTTTCAACAGAAAACATCTCCATAATATTAGCCTACTTTGCTTGTCAACAGCCTTACAAGCAAATATTGAAAGCAGAGTTATCTTACTCTAAGCAGCTCAGAACTTGGGGCGAAGAATCCCAGCTTTGAATTAGAAGATTTTCTCATCAAGCTTTGAATTAGAAGATTTTCTCATCTGCTTGATCTTTCCTCGTCCTTTGCTCTGCTCACAAGCTGCGATTGTCCGGTGATTATTTTCAGGGGATGCCATAGACTTCACAGTTCAACATGCCATTTCTGAAGCCAACGGAGGACGGCCCAACGCATCCAAAACGGCTGTGATTATTGTGGCAGGCACCTCAAAGGACGCTGTGGAAGCTGCTGTCTCTTCCGCAAGAGCCAACAGTAAGTTTGTTATTTTGCCATTCCTTTTCTACTCTTCTATATGTTGGAAATGGACCTCCAGCTTGTGGGATGTGAAATGCCCCTGTTCTTTTTCTGCTGAAGTATATATGCCCTGCTTTATACAGTGGTGGCCATAATGGCGGAAACCTTTTGGGAAAAGCGTACAGTAGAAATGCCATCTTTGGTTAAGTTTCCACCCATTTTTCTTCTAATTTCTTTATCACTGTAGCCTTGTTCACGTAATAATATTATTTTACATCGCTTTCTGGGCGACCAGTCAACACAGCTGGGAGATATCCAGGATGCACGTAAGTGCAGGCAAGAGAAGCGAGTAGGACAGAGGGATGCAATGGGGCGGCTCCAAAGGGAAAGGAGAAGGCATTAGGAAGCCACGCCTTGGGCTGAATTATAAAAGGGAAGGTGTGGGAGGTGCTGGTTGCCGAAGGCAGCCGTTCATGGTTGAAGATCGAATTTCTGTGGACTGTGTTTGTTTGCCTTGGACATTGACTCAGGTCTGTGAATAATAAAAGGGGTTTGGTTTTTTTTTCTGTGGTTCCAGCCTGCTTATTGAAAGAGGGGTTTCTCCTTCTGAGCTTAACAAGGACTCACCTAGGCTGGGACAGAACAGAGGAGATGCTTAACATTTTGTGCAAAAGTCTCTCTCTCGGGCTCGTGAGAGTCATGTATTGGCTTTGCCACTTTGTGTTCTGTACATTGCATCCAGGAAGACAGCCTGCAGCAGTTAAGCGACACTGAATTCCTTTGGGGAACACACAGAGCTAGATGGTTGAAGGGGAAAAGACAAGCTGATTCTTTTCTCCTGTGTAATGTTGTACAAAATCCAGAGCTCTGCAGTTGCCATGCAAGAGAGACAAGGTCACTGTGCATAATTTACAGGTGGCGGTAGTGTAACATGTAGCCTGGTCATGACCTCAGCATCTACTCGTCACTCCCAGTATAAATCTTCAGATAGGGTTACCTCTGCAGGTTGTGTTGTTAAAGGTAATCAGGAGTTTTTAAAGCCGACTGAAAAAGGAAAACTTGATAGTAATCCTGCTCAATGCTGACAAACTGGGGAATTCCATAATCTTTGTCTAGTTACAGGACATGAAAACAAGCTCTGTTCAAAATAAATGTGGCTAGAACCATTGGCTGAACAAACATGGATCCAAAGTTGGTGGCATATTGGAAATCCTGCTTTGGTCCATAAGCCAGTTTTCTTTTAAGGGTGAAATTTGTCTGAAATGATATAGGGTTTCCTGCCTGAGCAGGGGGTTGGACTAGAAGACCTCCAAGGTCCCTTCCAACTGTTGTTCTATTCTATTCTATTCTATTCTATTCTATTCTATTCTATTCTATTCTATTCTATTCTATTCTATTTTCTATTATTATTCTATTCTGTTATTATCCTGTTCTTCTATTCTATTCTATTCTATTCTATTCTATTCTATTCTCTATTTTCTATTCCATTCCATTCCATTCCATTCCACTCCACTCCACTCCACTCCATTCTCTCTTCCACTCCACTCCACTCCACTCTATTCTATTCTATTCTATTCTATTCTATTCTATTCTATTATATTATATTATATTATATTATATTCTATATTTTCTATTCCATTCCATTCCATTCCACTCCACTCCACTCCACTCCACTCCATTCTCTCTTCCACTCCACTCCACTCCACTCCACTCCACTCCACTCCACTCCACTCCACTCCACTCCACTCCACTCTATTCTATTCTATTCTATTCTATTCTATTCTATTCTATTCTATTCTATTCTATTCTGTTCTAATACATTGTGAAATTATATTATTCGTGTGATATGATAAATGTAGCTTCTGAGAGCAGCTGAAGACATAAAACTGGCAAACGCCTAATCAGATAATAGACATGGATCTCAAATTATATGGTTTTCCTCACTTGATTCTTTGCACTTGGGTAGAACTGTGATTAAATTAAAGTGGGAGCAACATGAAGCATTTTAGGGCTAATTCAGCTTCTTACAAAAACTACAGTCTGTTTCCATTTTAAAGCGGTGGTGAGTTGAGGCTGAATTCTTGATTGACCTAATTATTATTGTTACACAGAGCCCCACCAGGAAAAAAAAATGCATTTGCAGTAGAACTGAGCTCTTGATTGCGCAAAGCTTTTCAGGCAACTGACAGTGTTCAACCCACACCGGTTTACGTATCAATTTAGGATTCTTTTAATGGCATTGATTCATTGTAAAATGAGAATAGGACCTTTATAGTAAAGTGGTGTGTTTCCCCCCCAATATTCTGTGAATATACATCGCCGCGATTCTTCCGGAGAATGGAAATAATTATCGTTATTATGCAAGGACTGATTTTTAATCAAACTGTTGTTTTTTAACCCTTGTATTGAAGTTCAAACTGAATTAAGGTGGATTTCAATCTGTACTGCTTTTCCCAGGAGTTACGCTGCTTCCCATCGGCGTTGGCACCAAATATAATGTGGAACAACTGAAATCTTTAGTGGGGCCGTCTGCCAAAGACAAGATCATTAAACTGCAACATTTTGAAGATCTTTCTACAATGGTCACGCTGGGTGTTGAATTTATGAAGAAACTTTGTACAGGTAAGCCCCCCCTATCACACCACACTCTAGATAAGCACACACACGTTAAGACTTGTGGTTTTTTTTTAAAGTAAAGCTGTTGTATCTTTGGTTTCTTTCGCCGTTTCCAACGGAAGTCCCGTTTTCGTACTTGAGACGACAACAAATGTCTCCGGGCAAATTAGCACCTCACAATCTCCTGCTTAAAATTACCCCCCATGCAGAAAATGAAGGCGATGGAATCTTATTAAAGGAAATCAAAAACCGTGACCCAGGATGTGGTACCCAGATGGGAATTCCCGGTTCATTAATGAATTGTTCAGTGCGAATGTTGACACGGGCTTAAAAGATGACAGAGCCGTTAAAGGAATATATTAAGTCTTAGTAATCGTACCGTAATTATTTGCAGAGATGGGAAATTATCCTCTTTAGATTGGAAGCAAACACTCTCCTTACAAATAAGAGACGGGCTTCTGATTGTGAATATACATTAAAAAAAAAAAAAAGATCACCCAAAGAGCAGTTCAGGGGCTGCACCAAAGAAGAGGGGGGGGGTATATATATGTATATGTATACCTGTTTCAGTATGATTTTTATCTCAGATTTTATGACTATGCCTTGCAAATGTCTTTTGATGACTTATTTTTCAGAGACTGCCCAGGAGTGTATAGATGAAGAGGGGAATATCCGAGCAGTAAGTATATCATTCATATATCCTGTGAGTTTTAGATACATCGCCTGTTATGGGTGGCCCATTCGCAGAGTTGGAGGGGATTGGTTTGGGTGGAAAATTAAGGTGAGGGTCCTTGGTACTCTCTGCGCTTGCTTGTTTTCTTGCAGACGTTTCATGACCCTAACTAGGTAACATCATCAGTGGTAGAAGGGAGTAGGGTTTGTGGAATGGAGGAGGAGGAGGAGGAGGAGGAGGAGGAGGAAGGGGAGGACTGTGGGATCCTTGGTGCTCTCTGAGCTTGCTTGTTTTCTTGCAGACATTTCATTACCCAACTAGGCAACGTCATCAGTGCCAGTAAGGAGTGCTGTTTGCTATTGGATTATATTCTTATGTCTTGCCTGTCTGGGTGGGTGGGTGGTCCCACCCAGACAGGCAAGACATTAATGCAGTCCCAGGCTGCATTAACAGAGGGATAGACTCAAGATCAGGTGAAATGTTAATACCACTTTACAAGGCCTTGGTCAGGCCACACTTGGAATCCTGCATCCAGTTTTGGTCACCACGATGTAAAAAAGATGTTGAGACTCTAGAAAGAGTACAGAGAAGAGCAACAAAGATGATCAGGGGACTGGAGGCTAAAACATATGAAGAACGGCTGCTGGAATTGGGTCTGTCTAGTTTAATGGAGGGAAGGACGAGGGGAGACATGATAGCAGTCTTCCAGTATCTCAGGGGCTGCCCCAAAGAAGAGGGAGTCAAGCTATTTTCCAAAGCACTTGAACGCCAGACAAGAAGCAACGGATGGAAACTAATCAAGGAGAGAAGCAACCTAGAACTAAGGAGAAACTTCCTGACAGTGAGAACAATTAACCAGTGGAACAACCTGCCTCCAGAAGCCGTGAATGCTCCAACACTGGAAGTTTTTAAGAAGAGACTGGACAGCCATTTGTCCGAAATGGTATAGGGTTTCCTGCCTGAGCAGGAGGTTGGACTAGATGACCTTCAAGGTCCCTTCCAACTTTATCATCATCATCATCATCATCATCATCATCATCATCATCAACATCATCATCATCATCATCATCATCATTGTCATTGATCTGGATTCTCTTCTGGCGTAGCTCAAGATTTTCTGCTAGAAGCGCTTAAATAGCTTTGTGTTCCTGAATGCTAACGTCAGTTTTTCTTTTCCAGCGTTGAGAAAAGTTTTCTTACATCATTACTTTTTTAAAATACATGGAAGGTATGCTAACCAGTGTAACTCTGAGCATTCTTCTCGCCCATCAAACTGATCCCACACGGTCATTGTTTAGGAATCTAGCACGTAATGAATCAAAGTCCATAATCAAATCCTATGGATTCCAGGGAGAAGGAATGATCTGATTTAGGTCCAGAATACCAATTTCTCCCAATTTGGAACTCTTCCAGTTGCGTAGATTGCTAGAATTCTCAGCAATAGCCATGTTGGCTGGGAATGATTTTCTAGACATTAGGACAGCACCCAAATTTGAGGAAAACAATTCCACACCATTAATCTTTTCCAGGCAAAATACACTGAATTTTGTTACTGGCTTTAATTAATGACTTCTCCCATGTAAGTTCAGATGAGGGGTGTCCAATCTTGGCAACGTGAAGATTGGTGGACTTCAATTCCCAGAATTCCCCAGCCAGCATGCATGGCTGCCTAGAGAATTCTGGGAGTTGAAGTCCACAGACCTTCAAGTTGCCACGGTTGGATACCCCTGCTTTTAGATTATAAACCACAGTTTGGCGCCCACTGAACTCCTGTTTTAACTTGAGTGTGTGTCCTTTTGTGCAGCCTGGCGACAAGTGGCAGTTGCTGGATCCGTGCTATAGTGTGAAGTGCTTACCGGGTGGCCACACAGAACTGGAAAGCCACCGACATCTCTGTGAGAGGATGGCCAAGCCAACATGTCACAACAATTTCCCCGCTGTTAAAGTGGAGGAAACGTGCAGCTGCCGTTGGGTGTGTCCATGTGAGTAGTTGTCACCACCAGCTCAAAATAGAGGGATAATCTGGCCGTATGGTTTGGGCGGAAGGAAAGGAGAGGGAAGAAGCTCATGTATGAAAAAGAGGCAACGGAATGCGGAATTGTTTTAATGTCGTCTTCCTTGTGTATTTGGATCCAAAGCTCACTGCAAACAACCACATAATGTTCTAGTGCATTTCTGAACTTCAATGCACATGTGTCACAGCCTCTAGCATGCTCTGGAGACATCACTGACCCAGAACCTGTAGGGAAAAACTAACAGAACCAGGGGGAGAGTTAAAAGAGGTATCAGTCTGGAATCTCTATGTAGTCACAAGCAAACTCAGTCCAGCTCCTCCTGTATGCCACTGACCCTTATCTAACTCTAACCAGATGCTAACCATTAGTTGAGAAGATAGTTAGGTTGCTTAGCAATAAATCAATTTTAATTGACCCTTCACCTGGGGTCCTGCTCTTTCACACCTGACCGGAACCTCTTCGGATTTTCGTTCTGCTGTGGGAGAACCTCAGGATTCCGTAAATCTTTCCAAATGTTGATAGGTCCTCAAGGTTTTTGCCTGGGGATCTGCCGCTACGTTCTGGGATCCAACTGCCTCAACAGATGGATTTCTCCAATTAGAGAGCAGGGCTGCAAGTTTCAGCCACCACATCTGCTCTTTATATGCAAATGCAGAGTTTGTGAATTAGTACAAGGGGACAAATATAGAGTGCCTTCTGGACACCACGTGGAGCACAGAATGGAATACAGAGAACTGTGCTGCTTTGGAAAGCAAAGAATTATGTGACAAAACCGCCACCCGGAGCAACAGTCCTTGACATACAGGCTTCACAATCAAGTGATTTACTGCCAAGGATGTGATTTGTATTAATTCAGGGGTCCCCAACCCCCGGTCCACGGACTGGTACTGGGCCGTGGCATGCCAGCAACCAGTCCACATAAATAAGCAAAGCCCCATTTGTGGGATGCAGGCAGCACACAAAACCACACACTCTCTGGAACGTGGAAAAAACCTTTCTCCAAGTCTGGTACCTGGTGCCCAAAAAGGCTGGGGACCTCTGTATTAATTGACACAGAAACAAGACAAAAGTCGTATAAATAAGTTGCTTTCAAGGTTATAGAAACCTCTTTTTTTTTTTTGCAAGCTGTCAAGAATATAGATAAAACTGAACACCACTGGGTTTCGATAACCAGGGTTTGTATTTCTGTTATAGTTTTCCTTGGGTCTGCAAATGTTCGTGTTAGAAGTTTTAATACTCTGTTGTTGGTTTTTTTTTAACATTTAAACTTTGCTTAAATTGAATTTGCCTTCAGAGGTGTGGTGGATGTAGGAAGGATGTCGTAGGAGGGTTCTTGAGACGTCACTCATCCCTCGGTGAAAAAATTTACACAGTTTGGTTGAACCCAATAGGGCATTTCATTTCTAAATTTAAGGGACTCCAAGTTTACTTTAAGGTTTCTTCTCTGAAAGTAAATTATCTTCTGCCTCTAAGGGTGTGTTTCTTAGGCAACTTTCATGAAGAGAAATAGCACAAAGAAAACGCTTAATTGAAGACACATTCATTTTCTCACTGAGGGCAGATGTGTGGTTTTTTTTTCTAAAGCTTGCGGCGGGCTACATTTGGATAAATAGTCTTCCCACTGCCAGTGGAAGGACCATCTTCCCAGTAAAATGCAGAGAACGTTGTGAGAAGCCACCATTTGAGGCTACTGACATTACAAGATATTCCCACGGTTCAGCAAATCCTACAAAAGAATCCTGCAGACGAATGGAACGGAACAGCAGTTGGCAAGTGGTGGCCCAGCACAGCTTGCTGATCTCTTAAGTCAGAATCAGAATAGAAAGAGCTGGAAGGGACCTCGGAGGTCTTCTAGTCCAGCCCCCTGCTCAAGCAGGAGAACCTATCATTTCAGACAAGTGGTGAGATGATCTATTTCACCCATCCAGCCACATGGATGGTTAGAGAGGTGAAGCTTAGATGTCATCGGGTCAAAGGTTTTCTGCTCCCATGCCTGATGGCAAGATGCTGGTTGAGCTGGGGGATAACCAGGAGTAGTCAACCAGCAACTGAATACTTGTTTCTACGGTGAAATGTTCAAAGCAGGAATTTTGACTGGAGAAAGCATCAGCTAGTCAAGCCCCCAAAAATGTGTGCTGCAGCTGCAAAAAACAACAACAATGCAATCTTAGATGTCATCAACAGAGGGATAGAATCAAGATCACGTGAAGTGTTAATACCGCTTTACAACGCCTTGGTAAGGCCACACTTGGAATGCTGCATCCGGTTTTGGTCATCACGACGTAAAAAAGGTGTTGAGACTCTAGAAAGAGTGCAGAGAAGAGCAACAAAGATGATCAGGGGACTGGAGGCTAAAACATACAAGGAACTGTTGCTGGAATAGGGTATGTCTAGTTTAATGAAGAGAAGGACGAGGGGGGACAGGATAGCAGCCTTCCAGTATCTCAAGGGCTGCCCCAAAGAAGAGGGAGTCAAGCTATTCTCCAAAGCGCCTGAAGGCAGGACAAGAAGCAACGGATGGAAACTCATCAAGGAGAGAAGCAACCTAGAACTAAGGAGAAACTTCCTGACAGTTAGAACAATCAACCAGTGGAACAACCTGCCTCCAGAAGTTGTGAATGCTCCAACACTGGAGCTTTTTAAGAAGAGATTGGACAGCCACTTGTCTGAAATGATATAGGGTCTCCTGCTTGAGCAGGGGGTTGGACTAGAAGACCTCCAAGGTCCCTTCCAACTCTATTGTTATTGTTATTGTCATCGTCATCGTCATCATCATCGTCATCATCATTAGTTTTGTTGTTGTTGTTATTGCTGAAGTTCCCCTGTTGCTTTACAAGTGTGTAGCAAAAGAAGAGGGGCGTGTAACAAATAAGTAGGGTCCTCTGAAGGTCCTCTTTCAACTTCCTCTTTGTAGGTACCTGCATGGGAAGTTCAACCAGACACATTGTCACCTTCGATGGGCTGGATTTTAAGCTGATGGGCAACTGTTCCTACACCTTGTTTGAGGACAAAGAGGAGGGCGTTGAAGTGATTCTTCACAACGGCGCTTGCAGCTCAGCCCCCAAAGTCAACTGCATGAATGCCATTGAGGTCACACATCAGGGCTTCTCTCTGCAGCTCTATAACAACATGACGGTAAGAGACGGGTGGGAGAAAAAGGGATTTAATTTGGAGGGACCAAGGAGAGGTGATTCAGCAAAGAACGGATTGCTAAAATGCCCAGGGGATTTCATTTCAAGACGAAACCAATTGAGAACCAGTTTGATGCTTGGTGTGGTGAAGGATATATCTAGTCCCACCTTAAAAACCCAACTGGGTGATTTGGAGCCAGTCCCTGTCTCAGTTAAACCCACCTCACAGGGTTTTTGTTGTGGGGA